CTACATCCAGCAGCAGGGCGAGCGCGCGCTGTGGCAATGCGGACGCGATGGCGGCCTGGAGCTCCGACCCGGTGAGGCTGGCGGCGCGGGGTCACCCTGGGCGCGGGGCGCGGGCGGCGGCGGGAGGGCGCGGCCGGGCCCCCCAGCCCGCGGGAGCGGAGGGCGCCGCCTGCGGCCCTGGCGGGCGGGCGGCTCGGCGAGGGTGCGCGCTGTCCTACTTTCCCGACGGAGGGCGCTCGCCTGGCCCCTGGCCCCTGGCCCCCGCCTCCGCGCGGACAAAGGACCCTCGTCCCTCCCGGGAGGGGAGAGCAGACCCGGGCTGCCGGCAGCCGGGGTTCGGCCGGCTCTCCCGGGAAGTTCGAGCGAGGGACCCCGGCCGTGAAGGCCTCTTCCTGTCCGGAGTGGCCTCTGGCCCGGCCCCCGCGACAGGGTCTGGGTGCGAACCCCCGTCTCGGGCCAGCAGCGACCCCAGTTCAGCGGCACGAGCTGTCGAACTTCGCTCCCTGTCCACCTGTTTCTGGGTCCTTTTTAAAGGCGTGATTGCTTCCGGCTGCCCCCGGGCACCTGGCTTCAAGCTCCTTTTCTTTGGTTGTGGTGTTGCAATGAAACCGTCTCGTCATGTGGAACTTTTACTGTTTTTGTGGGGTTCAGTGGTGGGCGATGCCGAGTGTATTGTGGGTCCGAGTCTGGGTGTGAAGATGCTGTGAGATGCCGAGGGCCACGGCGTTCGGTTTGCGTTGGGGAAAACTGGTTCACGTGGGGAGTGAAACAGCAGCCCCGCCCTCCGGGCCGGCGGTGCGGGGGGCTGGGTCCCCCCCCCTCCCCCTTGGAGGTTGTCAGTCCTTTTCCCTAATCACCTCAGACATCTTTCACTTGAGAAGTGAAAGATGTAGAGTAGTGAAAGAAGTAGAGTTCTTTAAAGAAATAGAGCATTTCAAATTTACTAGCAATTCTTGTGCCTCATCTCGACAAAGGAATTACATGAATTGGAAAGTCTAAGACAGCGGTTCTCAACCTGTGGGTCGCGACCCCTTTGGGGGTCGAACGACCCTTTCACAGGAGTCGCTTAACACCATCAGAAAACACATATATAATTACATATTGTTTTTGTGATTAATCACTATGCTTTAATTATGTTCAGTTTGTCACAATGAAAATACATCCTGCATATCAGATATTTACATGACGATTCATAACAGTAGCAAAATTACAGTTATGAAGTAGCAACGAAAATAATGTTATGGTTGGGGGTCACCACAACATGAGGAACTGTATTAAAGGGTCGCGGCATGAGGAAGGTTGAGAACCACTGGTCTAAGAGCTCCAACTAAGCTTTTCGCGTCACAGCAGCTACCATTTCTGGGTGGCGTTCAAGGTCGTGGTCCTTACTGTCCCCACAACATCCTTACAGAGCAGCTGATGGTGTCCTCGGGTCGCCGTGAGGACACAGGTGTGAAAGGTTGGACACGGACCTGAGGTCCGGGAGAGGGTAGAACTGGCCCCAGAACACTATCTGGCAGGTGCCCCTTTCTTTTGAAGGCCTGCCGGTTGATTTGCTAGAGCAGTGAAGGAGAACTTATTTTTCCCCCCTCGGCTCCGTGTATTTTCTTACAATTACGTGTGATTTCCTCTATTCAGAATGGAGGAGAAACTAGGCACCCAGATAAGGTTCCTGATGGTCTTGGGACAGAAGTTGTTGTAGATAGGCTAATTTTGGCCAGTCTCCATTCATTCTCTTTTCTCTGTTTTTCCTGATTTGACCATTTGCCTAGCCCTCCCCCTGCTCCCACCCCCAACGTTTGGGTAAAGTTCCAAGTTTAGCTTGAAGGAAGGTAGACTGCAAAATTCCCCAAGCTGTTAGGGAGCCGACCGTAGATCTTTTCCAGCTGGATGGAAATTGAGATCATCGCCAACCCATGGAACAGAACACTTTTCCACGCTTCTTCAACTATAAAATGAGGGTTGGGCTTTTGGGTCATTGTACATGATGAAAATGTTTTTTAAAACAATGCCAGTTTGTTCAGTGTACGTTTTAGAGGACAGGAGTTGATATTGGTGTGTTTCATGAAAAAAAAACTCAGGATATCTAGGTAGTCACCAGTATGTTTGGGCAGTGACTTGAGGCATATATAAATAGGGTGGCCTGGGCTGTCTGCATTTCTAGGGCCACTCTCTTCTTTCTCTTAGCCCAGCCGTGGGCAAACTACGGCCCGGGCCCGTTTGAAATGAATAAAACTAAAAAAAAAAAAGACCGTACCCTTTTATGTAATGATGTTTACTTTGAATTTATATTAGTTCACACAAACACTCCATCCATGCTTTTGTTCCGGCCCTCCGGTCCAGTTTAAGAACCCATTGTGGCCCTCGAGTCAAAAAGTTTGCCCACCCCTGTCTTAGCCCCTAAGATTGACAGAGATGAACCAAGCTGGTGGAATGACATGGAACACGGTGCAGTCATAGGAGTCCTCTGAAGAGGAGCGCGTTTAAATGAATTATTTGACTTTCTGTTTGGTTTGTGTTCAGTTCTTATACATGGGAGGCTCTCCTGTCCTAATGGTGGTTTGGGGATAAATCACTCCTCTCAAGTGAACAAAGTCAACTCTTCTAGGCTGCTGGCTAGTGTCTTACCTTTCTGTGGAAGGATACTTAACTCCATACTTCTGAGCTAAAGAAGCTGAGATGAGCCACAGGTTTAAGCCTTTAAGAAATATCCCCAGGGTAACCTCGGCCTAGATTGTGGATTAAGCCACGTGGTTTGAGTTACCGTTTATATATTCAAAGTCCACATCAGAAGGCAAGTTAAAAACTTCTTTTCTACATAAATGGCTGTAGTCTTTGCAGTTACATTTATTTCATGTCTTAGGATGTAGGCAACCACAGACTGAAGTAGACCGAAAATCTAGAGGAAGGAAGAGGCCATTATATTTCAGAAGTAACAGCCTGTTTTGATCTTTAGGTGTTCAAGTATAGCCAGTGAATAAAGAATCCCATGTACTTTACCAACTAGTTTGTCCTATCCAGTACTTAAGATGCTTTTTAAAGAATGACTATTAATAATTGTATTTTAATTGCTTTTTTTCTATAGAATCATTCAAAATTCTTTCCATTTTATCGTACCTTTTTCCTTTGCTTTTATTGCCAGTTTTGCTCTTGTTTCTAATCAAAGCATTTATTTATTTATTTATTTATTTTTTTAAAATATATTTTATTGATTTTTTACAGAGAGGAAGGGAGAGAGATAGAGAGTTAGAAACATCGATGAGAGAGAAACATCGATCAGCTGCCTCCTGCACATCTCCCACTGGGGATGTGCCCGCAACCCAGGTACATGCCCTTGACCGGAATCGAACCTGGGACCCCTCAGTCCGCAAGCCGACGCTCTATCCACTGAGCCAAACCGGTTTCGGCTTCTAATCAAAGCATTTAAAATACTCCATTATTTCCAATTGATAGTTCAACTGAATACTGACCAAGTCCTTATCTTTTCCAAAGGGCAGTGTTACTAGTATAAGACCAAACAAGCCTGTGGACATTGTGGTTTTTATGTTTATGGCTACTGAACAACCTGAATCAGGACTTTCCTTTTTCTTAGAGACATCCAAAGAGTCAGCATTGATTTTTAAGGTTAAAATGACCATTTCCTTATCCTGGAATGTTTGCTACTGTCAGCTCTTTTCCTGCCTAGTTTATTCTGTAAGACCCAGCTCAGATGTGTGCTCACCCTAGCCCGCATTCCTAGGGCAGAATTGTGGTCACAATAAACACATTATTGTGTTTCCAGGTGCTTTATACACTTAGTACACACTTTGATTATAGCCCTTACTGCACCATATAATAATAGTTTCCTTCCTTTTTCCTCAGGGGACAGTGCATTTCCCTAGGCAAGGACCGTACTTGACTCATCTCGGTGTCTCTGGGCTCTAGAGTGCGTAGGATGCAGAAAGCATTTTTGGTTGAGTGGAGCTGAGTTAAATTTTAAGTCCAAGTTTTCTCTCAGCAATATCATTGCCATAAAAGTTGGATGCTGTGTTATGCTTATTACCCATTTTAGGCCCTGTTCTGAATATCTTCTAATTGGGGCGGAAAATCTCTGTCCAGCTGCGTGAGGAAATGAATGTGAGGCTTTCCGCTTGTGTGTGTGTTTTTTCCCTTAATATCTGATTTAGCATCACCATTTTTAAAAGAAAATTCTTTGTATTCCTTATTTTCTTCTTTACATTGTTTAATTTGTAAAAATGGTTTCTTTTAAACAGTTGATATTATTATTTTTTCTGATGCTTTCTTTTTAAAAAATTCCTCACCCGAGGATATGTTTTTATTGATTCTTAGAGAGAGGGAGGGAGAAGAGGGAGGAAAAGAGAGAGAGAGAAACATTGATGTGATCAATTGCCTGCCCTACTTGCCACAACTGGGAATCCAACCCCCGCAACCTTTTGGTGTATGGGAGGATGCTTCAACCATCTGAACCACCCAGCCAGGGCTGATATTTTCATTTCTTTAGTCTGTAGCAGTGCTTTTTGGTGAATGCTTATGTCTATTGCAAGGTGACCCCTAGAGAAAAATATTTAGGTTGTTTATTGTCTACCAGGGAAAATGATAAAGTACTGTGTAAACATTCAATAACTTCCTGAGAGTGAAGTTTTACTATCTGAGAAAAGGATTGTAGACTTTAAACAGTCCACTGTTGGGGAAGGGTGTTATGGTCTTACCTCTTCAGTCTTAAAATTGTTTCTACTAGACCTTGTGTCTTTGTCTGATATGACGGTGTTATGTAATTTACTGCAGTCTATGCTTCATACTATTTGGAGACTGAGTGACCATGAAAAGATGTTAAAGCATTTGTCATACACATAACATTCACAGCCTGTAAACTGGAGAGAGAGAAATGATATTCTGAATGATGAATACCAGTGAATATTTTTTTGGAGGAGATAACTAGCTATCAATTAGAATTCACAGAAACATGAAAAGTGTTTCTGTTCTTCTTAGTAATTTTTTATAATGAAATTATTTTTAGTATGTCATATGAAGTTAACTTTCTTTGAATGAGAAATTATAGTTATGGAATGAG